TGGCATAAACATTTGCTGCTTAAACATAAAAAAACTCGAGCTCATAGTCGCACTGTCCATCATTTTAAATTGATTTCTAAATCGAACTTGCACTTCTGCACATTGGGAGTTTGTTTTTCTTCCTCTAGCACTTGATATCATCGATGATGAAGGTGCACCAGCATGAGGTTCAGTTTTTTTTTTCCAAATTCGCTTTGAGAACCTGAACACTCGTATGAACAAATGTTTAATGAAACTTAATACGTGTGTCAAGAACGAAAAAGATTATTGAAATGAAAATTTAGAACTTAAAGCGGTGTGAAACCTTTTGTTGTGTCCTTCTGCACCACATACACTACAAGTCATACGGGCATTCTTCGATTCTTCTCCGTGCAACTTATGTACTAACTTGGATCTAAAATTGTTTTCGAAAACCTCTAGTGATTTCACTGAAAAAGGTTGCCATATAAATTAAAACAAATAATATTTACATAAGTTTCTATTTAATGCAATATGTTTAGGACTATGTCTAATTGCTGAGACCAAAAAAAATCAGATGTTTTAGAAGCTTCCAAGGGAATTTCAAAGTATGTAACTTGTTTGTTTGATAAAACTTTATCAACATTTTAACTTTGATAAACTTTCAACCCTACTTTTCATCAACTCATATCAAAAGCTTTGCAAACAACTCTATAATGACAAAGTTAATAGGAGAAGCGAATTGTATAACGTAACTTAAAGAAGTTATATAATTTGTTACTTTTGTATTAAGTCCCTATTTGGTTTCCCTAAATCAACAAATTATCAGAATTTGATACTCTGCAACACGTATTTACAATAAAATATTTGCGCCAAAAGGATCTGCTTATTGTGCGACGTGGCTTCATTCATTATCATAAATCGTCTTTGAATTACTTATTTAATTACAAAGGGACCCACATTCGGATTACAAGAATCGATTTTTCTCCAACAAAAAATCCGACTAGATGAGAGTTAAGTATTAAAATTATGGACATTCGTCATTATATAATTTACATGTGCAAAATTTAAAAGTATGGCTGGTGTCCATTGGGGACAGTCTATGTGTCAATAATTTGGAGTAGCGAAACCCAATTCATGTCCCATCTTTTGTCTTATTTTCATTATTTACTTAATTATTCGTGTAAGAATAAGGAATTCCTCTTCCAATCCGTCCCATAATGTACATTATGACAAAAAACAAAATGTCCGTGTGATATTTGTCAACTAGATATTTTATAATTTTTGGTACAAACAAATTAAAATAATCGCCCTCGTGATTCTACTTGGTGCCCACACGAATCTATACATTATCCATGCGCTGATGTCGATTTCTTATTGCTCCAAATTTTGTTAATTATTAAAAAGTTTTTAGTAAATTATAAATTTAAGACTTTTATGTCTTTTAGTGCTTCTTCATTAAATATTGTCGATATCACTATGAGACTATATGAAGTCTACATGCTAAATTAAAAGCTAGTTTGATATAGATTTTCTAAGTAAATTTTTTTTTAATTAAATCATGTGTGGTATAAAAATAAGAAAAATCGCTAATTCCATAAAATATGTTTTTAAATATCATTTTGGGAAAAAAATATTTTTAGAAAAATATGTATCAAACAAGCCTAAAGTTATAAACGATAAACCTTTGAGAAGCATTGTAAATTGGTTTTTATTACTCATCTAAATAAATGATTCGAGTGATTGAACAATCACATCATGAAAATAAAAATAAACACGCTTTTGAACCTTTCAATCTAAATGTATTGTCACATTCTTCATTTGTCATATTCGTCACATGAAATGTTAGTAATATTTGACCACCAATTAAGCAGTTTTCATCATTTTGAGGAGTATGGGTGACAAGATATCATTACAACAAAAACAGCCAACGACAATTTTCAAAAAATATTTTCGTAGATCTACGGCAACATTTGGCCATGTGTTGCAAATTGAGGTGTTGACGTAGAGTGGAGGACTATGGCAACGTTTGCCAAATATTACTGTAGAAGGCTACGACAACGTTTGCCAAACGTTGCCATAGCCTTCTATCGCAATGTTTGGCAAACGTTACCGTAGAAGTTTCATCCCTCTACGGCAACATTTAAACGTTGCCTCAGGTCATTTTACAATTTTTTTAAAAAAACTTGCATAATTAATTTATTTGATTTCCAACAATCCTATAATACCGAAACAACAAAATACTTTCAAATTAGTTATATGTAATCAGATTTTACATAATTTTAATCAACAAAAATACGGTATATGATTCAATACAATATGCTAACATCAGTAGCATACTCAAAAAGTTAACATCATTAACACGTTTTAAATTTTCATACCGACATGTCCATTGGGGACAGTCTATGTGTCAATAATTGGGAGTAGCGAAACCCAATTCATGTCCCATCTTTTGTCTTATTTTCATTATTTATTTAATTACTCGTGTAAGAATAAGGAATTCCTCTTCCAACCCGTCCCATAATGGACATTATGACAAAAAAACAAAATGTCCGTGTGATATTTGGCAACTAGATATTGAAAAGAAATAGTTATTTTATAATTTTTGGTACAAACAAATTAAAATAATCGCCCTCGTGAATCTACTTGCTGCCCACACGAATCTATACATTATCCATGCGCTGATGTCGATTTCTTATTGCTCCAAATTTTGTTAATTATTAAAAAGTTTTTAGTAAATTATAAATTTAAGACTTTTATGTCTTTTAGTGCTTCGTCATTAAATATTGTCGATATCACTATGAGACTATATGAAGTCTACATGCTAAATTAAAAGCTAGTTTGATATATATTTTCTAAGTAATTTTTTTTAATTAAATCATGTGTGGTATAAAAATAAGAAAAATCGCTAATTCCGTAAAATATGTTTTTAAATATCATTTTGGGAAAAAAATATTTTTAGAAAAATATGTATCAAACAAGCCTAAAGTTGTAAACGATAAACCTTTGAGAAGCATTGTAAATTGGTTTTTATTACTCATCTAAATAAATGATTCGAGTGATTGAACAATCACATCGTGAAAATAAAAATAAACACGCTTTTGAACCTTTCAATCTAAATGTATTGTCACAATCTTCATTTGTCATATTCGTCACATGAAATGTTAGTAATATTTGACCACCAATTAAGCAGTTTTCATCATTTTGAGGAGTATGGGTGACAAGATATCATTACAACAAAAACAGCCAACGACAACGTTCAAAAAATATTGTCATAGATCTACGGCAACATTTGACCGTGTATTGCAAATTGAGGTGTTGTCGTAGAGTGGAGGACTATAGCAACGTTTGTCAAACATTACTGTAGAAAGTTACGACAACGTTTGCCAAACATTGCCATAGCCTTCTATCGCAACGTTTGACAAACATTACCGTAGAAGTTTCATCCCTCTACGGCAACATTTAAACGTTGCCTTAGGTCATTTTACAATTTTTTTCAAAAAATTTGCATAATTAATTTATTTGATTTCCAATAAACCTATAATACTGAAACAACAAAATACTTTCAAATTAGTTATATGTAATCAGATTTTACATAATTTTAATAAACAAAAATACGGTATATGATTCAATACAATATGCTAACATCAGTAGTATACTCAAAAAGTTAACATCATTACCCCACTAAAAAAGATACCAATCACAATTGACCAACAAAAAATATTACAAAATATTGAATTCATATAGTTTGTACAAACGTTGCAAAAAGTGAGACTCAACAAACGTTGAAAAAATGGTCTGTTGCAACATTTTTCTAAAAAACGTTGTCAGAACTCATTTATACTAACCAATGACGACATTCACTTTCTGAAATGTTGCCAAAAGACCATTTTAGCAACATTTATCAACAAATGTTGTCTTTTTAATGTTGCGAATGACTCTTTTTGTTGTAGTGTATGATAAAAAATCTTAGTGGTCTAATTGAAATAAATTAATTTATTGAATTATTGTCATATTCGTTTCTATATCGTCGTCAAATAACAATTATGTGAAATACTAGTTATATTTTGATTGTCAATTAAGCAATTTTCGTTATTTTGAGGACCATAGGTCATATTATATGACAGAAAATCTTAGAGACCTAATTGAAATAAATTAAATTTATTGAATTAATTTCATTTTATTAAAAAGTTAGGTGATTACAAATGAAATTCACCCCTAAAAAGTAGATATTTTTGAGGTACAAACAAACTGTATCGCCCTCATGATCCTGCTCATGAGTCATGACCCACTTGAATCTTGATTAAAATCCATACGCTAGAATGTGGGCCGCGCACGGGATGTGAATTGTTAATTTCTATCATTATTGTAGCTTGGACTATGCTACATGTACATACATTAATTTCTATTGATATGAGTTGATAGATTTTGGTATATTGATCTTGACAATATTCTTTTTCCAATTAACTGTCGATTTTTGATACGTATGGGTGTCAATCAAAGTATACACTTTGTGTGTAAACTAAAACTTTTAGTTTTTAATAATTCATTTAGGACTCGTTTACATTTTTTTTTAAAAATGGAAGTATGATTTCAATTAGTTCTTTATTTTTTTTCTCCTGTTTTTGTTTTATTTAAATATGAAGGTATATTCATCATTTCACAATTTTTTATTGAGAAATTAAATGAAAATGATGATTTCCGCAATAAAATGTTGAAATGGAAGGTGAAAAAAAAAATAATAATAATACAGAGACACACACACACACACAAAACGTTGTGACGTTTTACACAATAAACTCCATACGTAAACATATTTTGTGCTAATAACCCAAACTTTAACTATTATCAATAACCTTTAGATTTGTTTCTTCCTCAATAGCTTAGCTCCTCTTTCTTTAACTAAAAATATTAATAAAAATTTAAGTCAAAGTAACAATTGATTTTGATCATATATTTTATAAGATCTACAACATTTATCAAGTTTTATTAAAATCTATTTTTTTTAGCGAAATAAAACCTACCCTTAATGGCAAAGGAATATGAATCATATGTGGAGCATTGTCATTGGCTCATTGATTCGTATTTCACCAATAAAAAATTTCCGCGCAAATCCTTGTCTCCCACCAATAAAGGTACAACACTTCATTGCGCAACGCCTCAACCAGTACATACTCTACAGTACACCGCGCTTCGAAACTTGTACATAATACTCTCAAACCAATCTTTATCTCACGAGGAAATACAAGGTAATGGCTGGTTGACACGGCCATATTTCTATAATGGCCTTTGATTATTAAAAAAATATAGTTAAAAACACAAAAGGTTAAGTAAAATACCAAAATTCAAAAATACCCTCATTTCAAAGTTATTGATCGGAAAGGAAAAAAGAAGTTTCAAATTACTCACACAATCTAATAGTCGGGATCTAGTTGAAGAAGCCATCTTCAGAGTCAACTCAACGTCGACGACCACACAATTATATTGTTTGTTTAAGAACATTTTTGTCTTTTATCATTCAAAAGATCATTATGAAAATATGGGCCTGTTTAGTTCAGATTTTCATTTTCTACAGTAAATCAATTCTCATTTTCAACCACACATTCTTCAATAAAATAATATTTTTCATCACATAATTACTTTTTTCTTTTTTTTTCAACCACACATTTCCCATCATATCACTATTCAAAAATCAATTTTTCCCTTAAAAATCCCAAACAAACACACTCATGTGGTTGTTGAGAATTCAAAGTGAAAATTTGGAGATTTGACTGAGCTAATTTAGGGTGTGTTTGAATTTAATTTTGAGGAGAATAGAAATTTTGGAATAGTGATTGATGTGAGAATGTGTGGTGGAAAAGTGATGAAAAGTTTTTGATTTGTGTGTAATATTATTTTATTTGAAGAATATGTGGTTGAAATGAAAAATGAGAAAAAAGTGATGAAAAGTTTTTGATTTGTGTGTAATATTATTTTATTTGAAGAATGTGTGGTTGAAATGAAGAATGAGAATGAGAATGGGAATGAGAATGAGAAATTAATGGGTGCCAAACGGGGGCTTAAATAGTATCCCACACCCCAACCCACCAGCCTATACATACAGTATATATACACACAACAATTGCAGCTTCCATTTTACTCACCGCATGCTTCCCGCTCCTCTTTTCCACCTACTCTTGCGCTTTTCCGGTATTTCCGTCTATTAATATGATGCTATAAAGACTCAGTTTTTAGCCCTTTTTAAATAATATCAATGAGTTTTTGTTTTTATCTTTTTGTAATTTTATTGATGCGCAATGTTATTTTCTGCTTTTCGTTTGCATTCAGGCTGCTAAAGCGATGGCTGGGAGCAATTTCGAGGTCCATTCAGTTTTTTCAAATAGATCTCTACCGAACGGAAAATTTACGGCTACGCCGGAGATGCTGACATTGATTGCGGAAGAGAATTCTAAACATGGTTGCCGTTACCTCAGCCTGTCGATGGAAGCGAATCTCGAGGTTGGGGCGAAGAGGGAGATAGTGCTAGGCAGGAACATGCACACCACGTGCCTGGAGGTGACGGAGCCAGACGCGGATGATGAGTCTACAGGTGATAAGGAGGCTCACATTGCCAGCATTCTAGCTCGCTACCGTAATACCCTCCTCGAACGCACCAAGCACCATCTAGGTATAGCATGCGTGAGTGTGTCAAAAATTGGTTTTTGAGATCTGAATTTATCATTTTATGATATGCTCCGTGCTAGTTGACAAGCTTATAATGAAGCTTGTATATTCACCTTCCCATGCGTTTTATGGGTTTGAACAATGTTGGTTTTGGTTTCACAGGATATCCATACAATTTGGACTTTGATTATGGTGCGCTTTCTCGGTTGCAGCATTTCTCTATTAACAACCTCGGCGATCCATTCATTGAAAGCAACTATGGTGTACACTCAAGACAGTTTGAAGTGGGGGTTTTGGATTGGTTTGCCTGTCTATGGGAAATTGAAAAGGATGACTACTGGGGATATATCACAAATTGTGGCACTGAGGGTAATCTTCACGGCATCCTTGTTGGGTATGTATTATGTGACTGTATCTACGAGGCTCTAATTTCAGTAACAGAGGCTTCTTCGATCAACTAGAGGGTTGTTCTAACAATGATCATAATTCACCATTCAATTATACAGGAGAGAAATGCTTCCCGATGGAATTTTGTATGCATCGAAAGCATCACATTACTCTGTCTTCAAAGCAGCAAGAATGTACAGAATGGAATGTGTAAAAGTTGCAACCTTGGTCACAGGAGAGATAGATTGCACGGATTTTAAAACTAAGCTGCTTACCAACAAAGATAAACCAGCAATCATCAATGCCAACATAGGTAACTCTCTCTCTCTCTCTCATGTTTGCAGTCACTCTCTATTATGCGTGTGATTTTGTGCCTGCTAAGCCCCCAAGTATGTTGACACAAGTATCGTATTCTAAATTTCGTCAATATTTCACAAATTGCAGGAACTACAGTTAAAGGGGCTGTTGATGATCTCGATCTTGTCATACAGACCCTTGAAGAATGTGGTTTCTCACATGACAGATTCTACATCCACTGTGATGGCGCTCTTTTTGGTCTCATGATGCCATTTGTCAAAAGGGTAAGCAAATTTTGCTTGAATTGCAACCATTTTTGTCTTTCCTACTTTATACCTTGCACAGTTGAAGTCACAAATTCAATATTTGCTTTTAATGCATGTAAGTATACATGAGGTGTTTATGAGAGTCTGACTTAATGGATCAGAGGGATATAGTGAAAGGAGTGTGAGGATGATCTGTACATAAATATAAGCAATTTCTGGAGTGATGCACCATAGATTTAGAATTTGGTTGTCATGATTCTTTAAATGATCAAGGAGATGATCCAGCAGAAGCATGTGGTTTTGGGGGCTGATTGGTAGGTAATGCCTGAAGTAAATATTTCTGTTCTATTGATCCTAAACACTTCATTTGAGGTTATTTCTAGTTTTTTGGAACTGGCAAGAGGTAAAACATGACTCTTCTACTGTCTACGGCTGGTAAGGACTGGAAAGAAAGGTTATATACACTGACTTGTCGTCCTGCTGATAGAGTATTTGAAGTGCAATTTTATGCTGTCTGTTTGCTATAACCTTTACCTTTCTACTTCATCTACCCCTAAAAATCATTTTTTCATTCATTGATTATATGGTTTTATTGAACTTAGGCCTGTTTGACAAGGCAAATTTTCTTGGGAAAAAGAAAAATGTTTTCCTTTTCTAGACAATTGTTCTTGTTTGATGGCAAAAAGTAGGTGGGAATTAATTTTCTTGGACTTGAGTTCACGCGCCTTATTTCCTTCCAATTGAGGAAAATGATTTCCCACCATTTTGGTGGGAAAATCATTTTCCAGGTTCTGACGTTTTCGTTTTTTTTTTCTTTGTTTTTTTTTTTTTAAGTAATGGAAACAAATTTCATAACCAAGTGTAAAAAAAAATTTCACTTTCATGGACAATTTTGATGCAAACGAAGGCCAAACGAACACTAAACTTTGATTAAAAAAATGATTTTTTAGGAAACAAATTTTTTTTTGTTTTTTTTTTAACTTTTTGGTAATGGAAACAAATTTTATAACCAATTGTGGAAAAAATTATCACTNGAAAAAATTATCACTAACAATTTCCATGTAAAATAAAGTCAAACGAACAAAAAATTTAAAAATTTTCCGGGTGGAAAATTATATCAATCAAACACACTTGAAATCATTTTCCCTGCAAAACATTTTCTAGGTAATTATTTTCCCTGCAAATCATTTTCTTTCCACCCATTTTCCATCCTTGCAATTAAACGCACCCTTAGAATTCTGCTTTATCATCTTCTCTTCCTCAGCAGTCTTTGTTCTATGCAGGCACCGAAGGTTAGTTTCAAGAAGCCCATCGGAAGTGTGAGCGTTTCTGGCCATAAGTTTGTGGGATGTCCAATGCCATGCGGTGTGCAGATAACAAGGCTACAACACATAAATGCACTTTCGAGCAATGTCGAGTACCTTGCTTCAAGGGACGCAACAATTATGGGAAGCCGAAATGGCCATGCTCCAATCTTTTTGTGGTATACCTTGAACAGGAAAGGGTACAAGGGATTCCAGAAGGAAGTCCAAAAGTGCCTTAGGAATGCTCACTATTTGAAAGGTCGTCTTAGGGAAGCAGGAATTAGTGCGATGCTCAATGAACTGAGCAGTACAGTTGTGTTTGAGCGACCTCGTGACGAGGAGTTTGTACGCCGTTGGCAGCTCGCTTGTGAGGGAAATATGGCACATATTGTTGTGATGCCGAATGTCACAATTGAGAAGCTGGATTACTTTTTGAGCGAATTAGTTCAAGGACGATCAATCTGGTATAAAGATGAGAAAGTTCGGCCTCCTTGTCTTGCAGAAGATGTCGGGATAGATAATTGTTCTTGTGCTCTTCACAAGTAGTTTGTCTGTTAGTTTGAGGTTCTTTGAGAACCTCATTCTTGGTCTGTAGCAAAACTTTTCTATTCTTAGAGAAGGTCATGAAAAACAAAATGATCATTAAAATCTTACTTTTAGATTTTACTGCTCCTTTGTGCATTTTATTGTGCTGATGGTATTGTTCCAAGTAATTTAGAAAAGAAAATCCAGTTAAAACGATAATGGAAAAATAAAAAGTGATTACTGAAGAATTCTGACTAGGAGGATGATTTGCCTGATTGTACTCAAAGATTTTAAACAAAAATGGGCGTTGGAACTCGTGGAAATTTCTTGCGAAAATAGTTATTCATTATTCATGCGGAGTTGCACATTATTTTCGAGTAATGGATCAAATAAATCACAGGATTATGAATGGTTTCTTCATATGCTTTTCCTCCTGTACATTGCTTTGGTCCTTGTATGCAGGATTGTTCTAAAGACGCTCGACTGTGATAGGGTACTTGTTCTTGGGCATCCTGACTAGTGTTGGCTGGACAGAATCATCTTTCTCCAGTGGCTTCCACCTGCAATGAAGTAACACGAGGAGTGATCTAGTGTAAAAAAAATTCGAATATTTTATAGTTCTGACGTCTATGAAACATGCTCTTAATTCCTTAATTAGTCTTACTTGTATCTGCACATCAAGTGATGGATGAAAACAGAAACTTCCAGCTTGGCCAAGTTTATTCCAGGACACATGCGTGGTCCACTTCCAAACCCGAGGAAGCTGAAAGGTTTTATAGGATCCTGACATATCCAAGAACCATTTCTTATATACAAAGGAAAAAGTGAAAGAACTACCCTTACTCATGTTCATGGAGAAGCTTACAGAAAATCTGGATGGATCGAACTTCTGTGGATTAGGAAAAAACTCCGGGTCGTGATGGATCGACACAACATCCAAGTTAACAGACCAACCATTTTGAATTTTATACCCTAAAAAGCTCATAAGAATTTAGTTTAATACCAAAACATCTTTGAATATTTGTCTAGGATGTCCAGTTGGAAAAAAAATTACCATCAATGTCGAAGTCCTGTGCTGCTTTTCTTGAAAACCAAGGTAGGATTGTGGCTCTTCGAAGAGTTTCATTGATCACCTATTAGTTTATGGACCAGATAATTCAGTTGACAAACTAGAAAGACTCCATAAAATGATAAAATAATGAGTGACGGGGATTCAACTAACTTTGTTGGTGTACGGCATATTGTTAACTTCTGACCAGGTAAGACTCGATCCTTTCTCTCTGTTACGTTGAATAGTAAGATGTTCTTCCTGCAAAACCCATATATGATTTCATCTGTAGCATTTATGAAAAATAATGGATAAAAATCTAGAAATGTGAAGAATTTTTACTCTTAGATGTTCTAATGCAACAGGGTTTTCTTCAAGAAATTTAATAAGCCATGTCAAAGCAGCTGTAGTGGTATCATGACCAGCAACCAGTAGGGACAATATATTGTCCTTCAATTGTGCATCTGTGAGTTTATCATCATCTTCTCCTTCTGAGGTTTCTTTACTATGTTTCTTTAAAAGAGATTCTAGGAAATCTTGTTTGAAGGTTTCACCCTTTCTTCGATGGGCAATAGTTGAGTCTAACATGGCATACATCCGATCACGAGCCTATCCAGATGCAAGAAAATATCAGCATATTTTCCAAATTCATCTCCCTAAGATTATGTCCTTTTCATTTAATTACGTTTGTCAAAAATAAAATGATACCTTGATACCACGATAGAAGGCAGTTCCCGGGATTTTAAACGGCAACGAGGCAAAACAGGAAGAAATAATTTTGAAATTAGCTCGGAACTTCTCCTGCTCCTCACCAGCTGGCTCTAAACTCATTATCATGTTTCCTATCACCTTTAGTGTGAACTGCAGAAGTTTTTATATGTTGAGAAATAGCTGTAAAGAAAACTTATTCTTATCTAATATACTTTCTTTTATATCAGGTTTCAAAACTCAACTGTTGAAGCCTCTTCAAGAACTAATACTTTTCTTCCACTCCATTGATCCAACACCTCTATTGCCAAATTGTTGATAAATGGGAAATACTTTTTTAGGCCATCAACCGAAAGGGGGTCTGCAATCAGTCGGCGAAGTCTCTTGTGCGCTTCTCCCGTCTGTTGAAGCAAGCTTGTCGGCCCGAGGACCTGCTTTCCTGTGTAAAAGAGATTCAAGCTCACCAGCCCGTCTTTACCCGTTAACAGTATCTTGCTAGCTTCTCTCCCAGTCATGAAGATTGTATATCTTCCCAATACATAGCTCTTAAACACCTTTCCATACCTAACACAGATGAAAAACATTGAAATCAAGGGAAATTACTTTTTTAAGTTATAGATATTAGTTAATAATTTGGTTTTTTTAATCTGTACTTTTGTTGTCTCTTGTACATGAAACTGAATATGCCTGCAGGACTCGAGAACTCGGAGATGAATGAGAAACTTTCTCCCACAATAGGCCAACCTAAACTGCCGGGGATTCTTTCCATTGCCTTTGGAGAACCCCATATTCGGAGCAACAAGGCTGAAAGCACGAAAAGCAATACAAGTGCTACGAGCATTATTGACATACCTAACTCGGCCCGTTATTCTCAAACCAAAGAAGTTGATTTGAGCAAGCGTAGCCGTATAGGGAGTACTTCTTAGAATTACTTTCATTGCACTAATACTTATATCAGATAAATATAACCGCGTTTCTTAACTTTTATGTCGACCTACCCGAGCAGCATATTCTATGGTGAATAGAGACAGACAAAATTTCTCGTTGAAGATTACGAGGTTCATAAATTCTTATGTTGTTCTATATTTATGGAAGCTTGCCTCCTTGTTCTATATGTGTTGTGAATGCTTTGTTTTTGCTTGTTGGACCTGTGGAAGATCAGATATCTTTTTGCTTGTGTGACAGTGATCTTTTGTTTGCCGACCAAAGTACTAAGTTAATCCTCAATCTGATTTCTTTCTTTCTTGTAGTTAATTATATTCTTGTATATAGCCAGCTAATTTTTGCATTGGATCAAGTGATAATTCTCATAGGTCTTATCGTTCTAATAAACCATACGAGAGTAAGTTCAAAATAACGAGCACATCTCCAAAGTGAAAGAAGTTAAAAGAACTTTCGGATATGTTTGGACTAAATACAGACGGGATTGAAGAAAAGAGAAGTTTGTAATATATGTTCATTATCCCGTTTATTTAAATTATTATAATATCTTGTTTAGTAGTCACAAATTGACACATGTTACATAAAATTATTAACATGTAACATATGAGAACTAAATAACTCAGAACTTTAACTGAAAAGAAAAATCAACACCATACCTAATTCAGTGACATGTTGAAATTGGCAGTCATTCTATAAAAGATATAAAAATAATGTTCTTGGTAGATTGTTTGCTGCGCGCTCAAATGGCCGGCCTCAAGGCCTACGAGTTCTTCCAATGTTCAGTACTCAGTAACCAGTAAGTTCCAAGTTCATATTGTAGGGAAAATTATGTGCAAATTGACCGGGCTCAAGCCCACACCACAAAGCCCAAGTGAGGTTCCAACCCAAAACCAATTGGTAATGGGTGGAGTAGCCCACTTAGGTTATATGGTGAATTTATTTTCTTCCCACAACCGATGTAAGACTTGTTCGCCCCAACAATCCTCCCCTCAAACGAAGGACAACATCATTGTGGCCTCCCCTCAAACGATAATCCATTCGCCAATCATCTTGTACCGCCGTTATTACCGACACCCTCGACAANCTGAGCTCTGATACCAGTTGTAGGGAATTATTGAGAGTAATTACCCAAACCCCAAGCCCACTTGAGTTATATGGTGAATTTATTTTCTTCCCACAACCGATGTGAGACTTGTTTGCCCCAACACATATGCTTTTGCAAAGACTCTCCACATACTAACACAAATGCGATCCTTCGACAAAGTATGGGATTAATGGAAAGAATCAAGCAGACTCACCCTTCCTTGCTCACTTCGAAGTCAACGAGCATCATCTTATCGAGAATCGCAAATTTCAATCCTATGAAGAAACTCCGGAAGCATTTGGTAAGATGGAGACATATATTTTTGGGGAACAAATTTGGCATAGATGAGTTCGATGTACTGCTTCGAGCATTTTGTACACACCAGTAGATGAAAGAAGCAAGACCTGTCTTCAACAAGCAGCATTCTCGATTTTTCTCCTAACACCGAGACTGAATATTTTGCTCTTAATGATGCTATGTGACATTTTGAATTCGAAACAAGAGCGAGTTCTTGGTACTAATTGAATTCAATTAATAGGATTAAAGTCTCTTAGTGGGTCAGACTAAAGCTTGACTAAATAACTTGTCCTTTAACATCCATTTTGTTAGAAAAAATTGAAAAGAAAGATGAAAGTGCTTATAAAAAGGAAGATTGAGTAGTACAACGTGAAAGACAAAAAAATGTCAAGAATAAAAGTATTAAAATTTACGCATGGCTATATTGTTGCTATAATTTTTATTTGGTGTATCACTTTTAATTGTACTAAAAGTCCTCAATAATTGTTTATTCTCGCACTTATGTTCTTGTCATTTTTTTGTTGCATTTTTATCCTTAATTTTCTGTTAATTAGTATATCTGGTCCCTAATAAGGGTTTGTGTTCAAGTATTTTCTCGTGTCTCGAAAAAAGTTGCAAATCTAATTACATAATTTTGTGTTTGTTATTTTTTGTTTACTTAAAAATATAAGCGATAAATAAGTATTTTTACGCCTTCCGGAAGGTATAAACACCTATAAATTGACATATGGGTAATATTATTAAATATTTATTTAATACAACATATTTACCACTTATTTTGGAAAAAAAATGAAATAAAATCTTATCAAATCCCAAAAATTTTTAGAATTAGAAAATAATTTGAGAGGTAAATGATAGAGTTAAAAATAAAAAAATAAAGGAATATTTTAAGCGTGAATGACAAATGAGACTATATTATTGTAGGAATTATCCATTTGTCTAGAATTTTTTTTACAGAAGAAATACAGATACTCACATGGGGTGTGCCCCATGTGAATTAAATATTGTCAAAAAATGGACCCCACCTATTTGTGTGTATTATGTAAGCTTTCTGTATCTTTTTCATGTGTAGCATAGCAATGTTCATTATTTTAGAATAGAATACCAAATAAATGTAGAATAATACAAACTAAAGATAAGAAAGAAATTACTTTTGCTCATAGGGGTTAACATTGACATTTTAATATTTGGCCCCGTCCGGTTGTGCTTCTCTTCCCATTTTTATCAGTTTTCAGACAGTTACACAGTACATGGGAGAAGTAGCATATGTTGAATCCAAATATCAGCCGTAAGTCTTGACAAAAAAGCCCTGCAGCTATTTTTTTAAATGAATTACCATAAATGCCATTCTATAGATAGAATGAATTGCAATGTTAAAAGGCACATAAGTCATTTCGCATTTCATAGAATGAATGAATGCAACAATTGCGGCTAGTATCTCATGGTCAACATATGCAGTTTCTACCAATGCACTGTGTAACAGTCTGAAAAGCGATAAATAGGGGAAGAGAAGCTCAACCAAACAGGGGCTTGATAATTAGAGAAATTAGAAGCAAAACCTGAAAAGCTCTCATTTTACTTTCTCAAGATTTGATTGGTGCAGATTATTTAATAATCAGCTTTTGAACTTTTTTAAGTTTACCACACACATAAAATGCATGTACTTGATTGATAAGCAGAACTTGAGCTCTAAAAACCTCTAACAAGCATGGAAATTGAAATTACGCTTGCATATTCGTCTATAGATTAAATCAGGCCCTTGTTTAATCCCCATTATTTTCAAAATACATTTTTATTTCTCTTCCAATGACACATTTTCAATAAAATAATATTACACGCAAATTCAAAACTTTTCCTTATTTTCTTACAATATATGTCATTTTATATTTCCATGAATTTAGGAACTTTTGCTTGCATTGTACTTTTTGGTCGATATACCATAATCGATAACGTTCGAAAATATATTGGATTATAAAAGAAAGATGACTTTACCCCATGTGTCTCTTACCAAGGCTGGCCCTAGGCCAAAGCCAATTGGGCAATGGCCTCAGGCTTCAAATGTGAATGGGGCCTCCAATTGAAAAACACGACATGATAGAGGCTCAGTAATTACTAATTTATTACTTAAAAATTCATGTAACTATAATTTTTTTTTTTGGTTGACTCTAATTAAGTCCGATTTTATTCAAATTATTTTTTTTTCTCGAATTTAATATATATGATTAATTATGTGCTATTAAATGAGTCCAATATTGCTACTGTAATATGGTTTAGTTTGATAACTAATATTACAAATAAGTAGTTTGCTTTAATGAGTTATAACTTAAATCCAAATTAACTTTTTTCAAGTCCATAATGAGTCGTTTATTACGAGTTTCAAAATGAGTCCAATATTGATAGGGTAATTTTCGATACTCTAATATATACACATTTGATCTAAATGCTACTTTAGTCTCTCAAAATCTCAAATTTATTAAAAGGTTATCGAATCAATATCATTAGAATCTAGTTATGTTTCTCATCATAAAATAATATTAACCCTTCATCTTATCATATAAAAATATACATTTCTCACTATTTCGCAATCCAATCCTAAAATTTGCACTTTTTGTAAATGAAAGTCACTCCTCCTTGCTTACGAATATTCTTAGGACTTCAAATTATGGTTCTTAAATCTTTCCCCCGATTTTCTAAATTACACCTTATTTGAGTTTTTCCAATTAATAATTTTAGATATTATTATTTACACTCTGATAATATTTTTCAATCAACAGGATATTGTGCTAAAAATTATGTCACCCTAGTCTTTCAAGTTGTCGAGATAATTTTTTTCTATTCTATCTTCTAGATTGAACCACGTTTTTGTTTAAAATATAAATATATTATTGAAATATTTAAGTATTTTTATACTTGTAAAAGGATTTACGTCTAAGGGTGCGTTTGATTGCAAGGGTGGAAAGAAAATATTTTACACGGAAAAGATTTGTTTAGAAAATATTTTGCAGGGAAAATGATTTCAAGTGTGTTTGATTGGTATAATTTTCCATCCGAAAAATTTTTAAATTTTCTATTCGTTTGGCTTTGTTTTACATGAAAATTGTTCATTAAAGTGATATTTTTTTCTACAATTGGTTATAAAATTTGTTTCCATTGCGAAAAAGTAAAAAAAAAATGAAAAAAAAAATTGTTTCCTAAAAAATCATTTTTTTAAATCAAAATTTAGTATTCGTTTGGCCTTCGTTTGCATCAAAATTGTCCATGAAAGTAAAATTTTTTTTTACACTTGGTCATGAAATTTGTTTCCATTACCAAAAAAAAAAAAAAAATAGCAGTCATACCCAGAATCAATTCACCTCACGTAAGGAGTTAGGCGCGTCTAGGGAAAATAAAAGCCAAATTTTCCATGCCAAAATTTGTCCATCAAACACCACAATTCATGAAAAGTTGGAAAATGTTTTCCTTTTCCACCCATTTTCCATGCTATCAAACACTCTCTAAGGATATTATCATACAATGAGTTGTCTAAGACCTCAAAATTTTTAGGAACAGCACTCTCTTATTCCTTTTTCCTCGTAAGAATTTTTCTGAAAACTACTTTATTTATTCTTACGTGGATTGCAAGTCCAATGTTTTTGTAATAATATTATTTGTTTAGGGGAAGTAATTCTGTTCTCGGAGGTCTTTTGATTTTTGGACTCAAGTCCTATACACAATTTCACATTGTTCAACGAAAAACACACACAATCAAGAACGTTTCTCTCTGTCACTCCCGTTTGACAAAAAAAACTTCTTGTTTTTACGTCGTTGGTGAAACTGTAAAAATTCAGATAATTTGAACATTTCAAAGTTTTAGCTTTCGTTTTCCCTGTCAATGTCCTGGTTAATGGCCCACTAGGGTTTATGAAAACCCCACTAATTCATAATTCACAGAATCTTCCGTTAAACCCTTTAACTAAAATTTTTATTATAGATATCCCTCTTAACCCCGAAGCCCCAACCCGAAAAGGAAAAAGATTAATGATCTGAAATTCTTCCTTAACCTAGTACATTTGAAAGGCTCGATTTTCGCTCCAAGTATCCGTTGTTAAATAAAGAATTTTACATCAGTAAATTTATTTCTTCTTGGGCCGTCTGAATTTACATCAATCATGGTAATTTTCTCTCTCTAGTGTTGCCTCAATTTTTCTTATGGTCTTTTTGTATCTACATTGTATGTATTCGTATAACTACGCATCAGTATGCTGGTATTTCACCTGACATTGTTGAATATCTTTAATTACTTTGCATTAAAGGAAATTTTGCAGCATTCCGGCCTGAATTTTCTTTGTTCATTTACCCTTTCCTGTCACTTTTCCTTGCCCTAGGAATTGAAGTTTATGCTTGTATCACGAATGGGTGTTTTATTCTTTAAATTTTGTTCGCTCATTTAATGTTCTTGTAGTTGGGCTTCAAAACCCCTGATGTTTGGTTTTTGATATTGTTTGGGAAAATCAGGTTCCTAAGTTTATAACAGAGGTTCCGTTTATGTTTTATGGCAATGGCAAGACTTTCCCGGTTAACTGATGAATAATCTTCTTGTGCTGATTCTGCCAAAATATTTTCTCATTAGCTCGTTTGGCCTTCCACAAGAAAGGGATGGACGGCCAATCAAAATCTGACAATTAAGTTGGTGAGTGTGTTTGGGAGTCTTAGGAATTTCGTTTCACAGAGAAAGATGTGTTCAAGTGTTTAGAATTGCTTACCCACCAAGTGGTATTATGGGTGTGTATTCTGTTGTGAGGGTATGGACTATGGATATGTGACACTCGACGATTCTTTTAATGGAAAGATCGCGATGTGTTCATTGTGTTATATAAAATCCATTTATGATGGACTTAAAAGTTTTGGTCTGGTTTCTACTAAAGAATAAAGATGTATATTCTGAAGTACTGAATTTTCATTTCCAGTGAAATATGTCAAGGAGTCTGATTAGAGTATACAGAAAGTCGTTACCAAAATGGGTGTATATTTTTCAAATTCTTTATATATAGATATATGATTTATTACTTTCTGTCAGTAGTATTATAACATATTAAAGTTTCTTATTTTTTCCTCCTACGATCTTGTAGAACTTGCCAGAAAAGGGGGAGATAAACTAAGCCCCTGTTTGGCGTAGATTAAAATATTAGTATTTTATGAAAGTTGATGAAATGTGTGGTTGACAAGTAGTGAGTCCTATGAAATGTGCTTAAAATTAATTATTGATTTTAACTTGACATTTTTATCAACTTTTAATCAACGCCAATCAAGGGCTAAATAGAACTTGGTTTGGGGTGATTGTTACGGATCTAGTTGTTTAAGACCTTCAAGCTTCAATAGACCTAGAATCGGCGAGTGGTGGAAAAGAATTAATGTAGCCCACTCCTAGAATTTTGTTGTATATTTCCCTCCAACAAGAACAAGAAAATAACTCCAGTTAGACTTAACTTGATGGGTGCAATTGAAATGGCAACAGATTTATGCAAATTCTGCATGTATAATATTTTACATATTCGTTTGTCCTTGCTGGTTTGCATGAATGAATATCATTCTTACTAAGATAAAGGTCACTGGTTTGATGGTTTACCAGTAAAATTTGTATTTTGGTATAAACATTGAGATTCATTATTTTCATTTGTTACTAAGCCCATGTTTGGTTTAACTAAAATCAGATTTATAAAAGATTTTGATAAAAATTAATGAAATGTGTGGTTAAAAAATTGTTAAAAGTTGTGGATCCTATAAAATGTGTGGTTGAAAATGAGTTCGAGGAAAAATGAGTATTAGAAAAAAGTAATACTATTCATCATCACTGGTATTAAGTACTAGTTTAGGTGACAATTACATGACATTAAATGATACAATGCATTTAAACCTAAAGTCACACGACTCATTTAATTGAATATATAAAGTGTAACCACTTAGACTGGTGCTCTAGCGCAACTGGTGGTAGATATTACTCTTTAGAAAATGGGGGCCAAACAGGGGCTGTATAGTTTCATGACTGAATTATTAGTAGTTTTGTTTTGCAAGATTAGTCAACAATGAAGTGTCCAGTTGAAAGTACTCAATATTTTGAAATGGAACCAGTGAAAGGTAGTTTCAGGCTTTGTTTTCTGTATTGCAAGTTTTTCTTTTCTTTTATTTTTTCAATTTTTATAATTTGATTCCCAAAAAAGTTCTATTCTATTTATCTTTACTTTAACATGATCAATTCATCCACATAATGGGCATCTATTTGCCAATAAATGGCTAATGCTTTTAAGCCTCAACCATGGATATGAAATCATTGAAATGAATCTTAAATGTTTAATTTAACATTAGGAGAAAATGAAAAAAAATTATAGTTTAGATTATTGATTGCTTGTTTTTTTGAAGCAATATTTCTTGATAAACTTTAAAGAAATTATTTGACTTGGCGCTTTCCATTTCACTCGATCCTTATGTTGCGTGACTGATGTATAAATTCATCATGCAGGAGATATGTCTGCAATGTGGCGACAAGGGAACAACTAATGCTTTTGTTTACTGTGTCAATTGTCTCGACTGTGTTTTGCATCGGTAAATTGTACTGCTGATTTTCTTTGTTAATTGTTCAACATATTTTGCACTCTCCTTCTCTCCCACTCTCTATATACGGAAAACAATTTGCAGAAATAAATTTAATTCTATGTTGTGTCAGTGACTTTTAAAAACGTCAATTTTGCTTGTTGAAGCTAGAGCCTCCAGCAAATTTGGCATAAGATGGATTAAATTGACCTGCCGCAAATCCTTAATGCCTGTATTTTTCATTTCCTTAGGGAAAATGTACCACTGGTTCCCAAGTTATTAGATGAGTAGCAAATTGGTCTTCAAATTTTCATAATATTTACACTATCAGTCTTCAACTACAGAAACTATCCAAATCTCCGCTAAATTTTTATGTGATCCTTGCATGTCCAAATTTATGAAACAAGGTTTTGTTTCTCAAGTTGGGCTGGTTGTTTCCATTACAGCACATGATGGTTTGTAGACAATTTTTTTTTTTGGGGACTGATTGTGCAACAAAGAGAGGTTGAGGATGAACTTGCTCTTTTTTGATAATTGGTGATCAACTTCCTACTCAACCAATAGATTAGAGACCAATGATGCAATTTCCCATTATCTCATCGTTTGCATTTTCAGTACAAGTGAGTTGTACCCATTTTGGAGCTGGGGGTTAGATTGATATTTTGGTGGATTTTCGTGCTATTCCTGTTTTTTAACTTTGTTTTTCTTCAGCTACTGCATGGAGGTAGTCACTTTCGATGAATATGTTCATTGGGTTTGTGATGACTGTGAAGCGATACTGCAAAAACAATCTGCTCCCCAAAACTGTGATGCTGTCACATGCAATAAAGAGGATCGTACAGTTTCAGAAGATATCGAAGTGTTGTCTGGAGAAGAATTGAAGAAATGTGATACGTTGGCCTTTGAGACGGAAAGGAATGCTTGTGAAGGTGACCCCACACCAAAATCATCCGAGACTTGTACGAAGGTTGGCTTGGCTGAACGTGACAAATCAGCCAGTGGCAGTACTTGCCCCATTGTTGAGAAAGACCAGCATGGATCTGGAAAGCAGAGAGATCAAAAGCGTCGCTCCCGGCAATCTTGTGAATCAAATAGCGAGCCGGGCGTGGGAGAGCATACTTCTTTAGTACACAAGACGTCTTTCAAAAATTCAAAGAAGATGAAAAATGCCATGTTTTGTGAAGCCAATTCAGAGGAGCATGGGCGGAATAGTATTTATGCTGATCCGAATATAAGCAATTCACATGAGGAGGTTCCAAAAGATCGTCAAAATGTCTCGTCAGTTCTTGGTTGCCATGAACCTGCACTACCTGTAATTACACCAATTTGGAGGTGAGGAAAATCTTACACATGAAAAAGGTTACCGAAACTGTGCAAGTTCTTTCTTGCCAGTGCTCATTAGGAACTCTCTCTTCCTTTTATCGACAGGGGAAGTTTTAACATATGGAACAAAGATAATGGTATGCTTGATGAATTCGTAGCTCACATGTCCAGTAAAGCGTGCCAAAAAGTGTTCGATGAGGCAAATCAGTTTCAAGGAGTGCTTCACATGGAAATGCTTCCCAAGTCTCATATGTGGCCAAAGAGTTTTGAAACGTCACAGCCCAACGATGATAGTATTGCCCTCTATTTCTTTCCATCAGACACAAGGTACTCGTTTGATATTTATTTCCTCTCTTTTATGATATGTTTGGTATGCTAGAATTTTGCATACGAGATGAATTAAAAGAGAGACAAGATTTCAAATCTTGTTTGTTATCATGTAGAGTACTGTGTACCAAACATGTTATTGTTTTACTTCTTTTCTCCCCTTCTAAATTTCAGTTCTTTCTAACTGTTAATTTCTGAAAAAAAACCTCTCGCAC